AAAGACAAAAATACCCCTCATAATTTTTAAAAGTTGCATAATTTTTAAAAATAACATAGGCTACCCTCATAATTTTTATATCTAAACACAATACAAGACACAATACACAATATTTTGTTCTCACTTCCAAACACAATACACAGACACAAACATTAGTGTCTCTGTTTCTAGTGCTCAGGGACGGTATCCAAACGCTACCATATTGTTTCAAGAAAATTTTATGGATTTACTTTTAAAATAAGATAGCTCCCTTCTTTCAAGATTAATAAACATAATTAGGTAGAACCTAAGGTTCAAGAGTAACTCCCTTTACCTGAAAATGGATCTCAAGAACTAAGTTTTTCATGGGCTCTAGAGAGAAACTCCACGTCTCGACCAAAAATACTACCCAAGGACTAGAGTTCTTCTTAACATCACAAGGTAGATTACTATTAAGAAAAGAGAGAACAGAGAAATAGTGACGAGATTCAAGGGATAAACTTTGGAAATTCAAGTGAAATAGACATTTGAGCTCAGAATCGAGGGAGATCCAGAGTTGTTGGAGGTTTTCTCTAGGAAGAGTAAAGGAGAGAACGAAGAGAATGGAGATTGAAAGATGATTTGGTTAAAAATGAAGTTTTTTAGGATGAAAGTTCTTTAAATATTTTTCAAACTTGCGACTTTCTTGCTACAGCGAGCAGCTCTCGCTATAGCAAAAAAAATCCAATAGTATTATTTCTTTGTTGTATGTTATTCTAGTTACAACGAGAGATCCTCGCTACAGTGAAAAATTCTAGCTACAGCGAGAATGCTATTGGGTCATCCTTATCCACTTCTCGCTAAAACGAGTGTATCACCTAATTTCAACTATATTCTATCTTGTTAAGACAAAATGAAGTTCTCTAAAAACAAACGCCAATGCTTATAAACGCATAACTCCGTAGGGTAAGTAATGAACACATTCATTCAACATCTTTAAACATTGTCATAAAAGAACCATCTTCACTTTCTCGTGTCTCACTCAACGTCAATACAACTCAAAGAGCTCTCACAACAGAATCGTTTCCCTGTACCATTAACATCATCTCAATCTTTGATCATTCAATCAAATTGAAATCAATAACCTTCATGATCAAAATTTATTTATATCTTTTTTATACGGTACAACACATAATTCTCTATATCCATTCATATCATCATCAATATCTAAACTAATTTATCATTTAAAACAAAATCTCATACTTGAACGACAAAAGCATGCATATAGATATCGTATAACTTAAAAACTGAGAAGAAAATCATTCATTTGAAAGGAGTGAACAAAATATTCCAAAACCAATGAGTCCAAAGTGAATACAGCAACAAAATAAAAACCCTTAAAAGTATGGTATCTCAAAAAGATAAAGGTAATGTCTTATAAGCAGTATCAACCCATGACTACACAACAGAAATCTACACATAAAATTTCAATAGAAGGGAATCCTCACTAGGGTCGAATTCCATTCCATCAAAGTTGGGAGAGTAATCCGCTAGCTGAGGACGAGGAGAAGGCGGCAAGGCATCCGGGTCACTATCAATCCAGTCAATGGTGGGTGGTGGTGAACGAGAGGTGGGTAGAGGGGGTGGTGAAGGGCATCGTGTAGAAGGTCCAACTTCACTAGTAGGGGGCACAGGAATTCTCAGAGAATGGCGAGGTACGGGCCGGATGGAAGACTCAACAATTCCAATGTCTTTCCACTCGGGTGTAGAAGAAGAACTGGGGCAAGAAGTAGGTTCTGGGTCGAGACTCATGAGGGCTTTACCTTTGTCAAGGGTGTTGGCAGGTTCAGAGGGAGATACTTGATGTGGTGGAGAAGAAGGGGGTGAATGAATGATAATACTCCTCTCAGGTGGCAGAGGTACAAAGATGTTGACAAAGAGGTAGTCACTCCAGTAGGGCTTCCAGCCATCCTCAGCGATGGGTCCCAAGTTCATAGTAATCATCCCTTGATACATGAGATGGCGCATCGTTGGATCATACGTCCATGCCTTCTTCCCTCCAGAGTCCGTCCCCCAAATCATTGCTTATGTGGATCCATCTGTCATACAATCATGCAACCATACAAGAGAAGACAACATAGAGAAATACGAAAGAAAGGGTGAGTCCAACATGGCAGTCCACTAATAATTGATTAAACAAGGTAATTGGAATTAACCAAAAAGGAAACAAAGAATCAAAATTTCAGAAAAAGCATATATTCTCATATTACATATCAAAACCATGAAATCAATATGACAGAAACACTGAAAAATCAATTAATATATGAATTATAACACATGTCACTCTTAATATTACCACTTCCTTAATTTCCAGCATTCCTCTAGTCAAGGCGATCGAAGACCCTCATTCCCTACAAGCACACATTATACATGATTACCCAGGGATACTCCTTTCCCAATTTCATCTTTGTTCCTCAGGAATGAGTTCTTCCACGATCATCGGTAATGCTTGGTCGCGTCAGGATTAGTGAAGGTTTGATGGTGACGTGTCCCGGCCACGGTAAGCTATTCTGCGCCATTGGGGTAACCCCCCTTCACTACCCCTAAGGTCCTGCTCTTGAACCTGAACACTCCACATTCCCCAGTTGTGTCAAACTGTGGCCTTGACTCCCCTTTTTCTCCACCTTATGCATATGAATAATTTAGTAATGACATCCACACTTCATCATTTTTGGATTACACATTTCAATCACAGAGGAGAGATTATGCATCACAAAATCTAAATCATACTCTAAGACACACAAACACATAGAAAAAGGCAGCCATGTACACACACAATCTAAGAAGCAAATGAGAAAGAAGAGGAAATAGAAATAACTACCACAACTTTAGTGAAAGATCAGAATGAAAGATGTATTTTCTAAACGAGTATTATTGGAAACATTACAAGAATAGTTGTGGGTTTAGTTCTACATGCAACTAAAATTTTAAGTTAACAATTCAATAAAATCTAGGACTAATTGGTAAAACAATTAATTCACAATTCAAAGTTAGCGACGGGGATTTGAGTTTAAAAGAAAATGGTTCATTGGCTCTCATCAAGGTAAAAACCAAAAAGGAAAATAATTCTTTCTTCAATTTTTTACTCAAAAAGATGTAGACAGAAAGAAATCAAGTGGTTTTATAAAAGAATGATATGAAAAGAGGTAGAATAATAAAAACCGAGAAGAAAGCATGCAATCCACACGAGAACACAACATGCAATAGCATACCATTTCAAAGTCATCATTTTTATTTCATATAAAGGCAAGAACAATCAACGATCATGAGAATATCACTAAATTAGCGACATGCAAGAATCACTCACTCACAATCACGCCTATTCAAGTTACAGGAGTGTCATTCTTAAAATGTTATTCAAATAGAATGATTTGGAGATGAAGAGAAACCACTTGCATGTGAACTTTTAACAAAAATCAGAAATGAGGATGAGGGAGAAGAAGGCACACACCACATTCAACAATACACAGCCAAGAACACACATTCACATGCAAGCAAGAAGTCCCCTTACCTTGCTTGGAATGAGAATGAGAAAGGAGTAGAAAGCTTGGCCTTGACGCTTGCAGGGACTCGTCCACAATGTGACTCCTTGGTGGTGGTATGATTGTTTGAGAGAGGTGGAAGTGCAGGTGGCGCAAATGGTTCCTTTGTGTCCACTTGGCTCCCTTGAGAGGTGAGATTGAGAAGACATTCACGAGAGAAAGGAAAAGTGGAAGGCACAAGAGTGAGAGAGAATAGTTTCAAGAGAGATAGGTTACGGTGAGCTTGAGAGGATTTTTGGAAAAAAGGAATGAAAAGGGCACATAGGAGTAAGTAAAGTCCATATATAGTGTGAGCAAAATGCTCGTCTCTTTCCATTTTCAGTGGACGTGATGGTTGAGGGCTGCACACGAGGGGTCAGGGTTAGAGTACTTGGAAGGACGTGGCTCTTGGTCTTTCCTCTGGAAGGGTTGCGCCTCCTTGGAGTCTTCGTGCATATAAAACATCCCATAATGAGCAATAAATGCAGTGGGGTGGAACAAGGCAAAAATTAACTACACCCACACGTTTCCATAATGTGTCAGCCTCGATATGGGTGGGTAATTAAGGCAGGATAGCCGTTTGAATCAATTTAAGGAGGGAATAATAATCCTTTCATATTCCAAGCATCTGAATGGTTGTGACTCTTAGTTTACTTGTGAAAGGGTGGCGCCTCCTTTGTGGCCGTTTGCACACAAAAGTCCCTATAAAGAGTAGTAATTGCAACGAAATTAAGGAAAGAAATATGCAATTAATGTTGGGCACGGTTTCTAGGATTAAATGCCCTAGGTGATAATTTCCAATATTGATTGGATTGCCCATTAAATGTAGGCCAGCAGTTTGAATCGTTTGAGGAGGGAATGGGGCATGCATCCCTTCATTTTCTCAGGGAATAAAATGTAAGTGGGAGGCAAAAATTTAAATGTGTTTAGTGGTGATTTAAATGAGGTAATGGAAAGGTTTCTCGTATAAGTGCAAAAGGCATGGGAAACTTCCTCAATTAATGACTATGAAGTTAATGCTAATTTATGGTGAATGGTCAGCCCCAATTAAATGCATGAGAATACGAAAATTCTGCACTTAAAGAGAAGAATAAAGGCTTCATTCTTTACTGCATCATCAATGAGGGAATTTTAAATAATTGCCACATGAGGTATGGTGGTTTATGGTGGGATGGCTATATTTAATTAGGGTAACTAGGATAATGGAATTTGCATTAAGTGCAATTTTTATGGTTAGAATCTAGGCCATTAAGGTCGATTCTCTCTCTTTATCCCCCTAGGCACGAAATGGGGATTCAGTTGCCACATTTAAAAAGGGAAAACTTCAAACAGTTAAGATGTCTCTTGAGTTCCCTTAGCTGCACGTGGAACATAGTGTGAAAGGAGTTGCTTCAAAATAATGGGATCATTTGGTGCGCATGGTGATAGGGGAAAAATGAAAAGGCTCATGTATATTTGACTATGGCTAAATGGGTATTTAATGGTAGAGAAAGAGAGTCATTAACAACGGCTAGGAAGGTAAAAAGTCACACGAGTAACTCCTTTCTCAAATAAGGATAAATAATAAATAAAAAAAAACAATTATAATAGATTAGGGGAGTAATAATAATAATCATAATAACAATAGAGTAGGGTCCACTCATTATAATCACCAGATAATCTTTACTCTAAGGTTCGTCTTGCTATCCCTAGGGTTTTCAAAACATAATCCACTACATGACCATAATGACATACGTACAAAAAGCACATCTAGCATTTTCTCATTATCATAAAAGAAATATTATGCAGCAAGAAACACAAACCAATCGGATAGTCATAAAAAAAAATTATGAGCTAAAGTCAATTAATCACTCAAGATATTTTCATTTGTAGTAAGGGCCAAACTAGAATAAAAAAAAATGAAGTGAAGAAACACTATCTAAGACAATCCATAATGTGTAGACCGAAATTGAGGATGTCACAACGAGACTCTTTTATTATAGCGAGAGGGCTCCATAGAGCCTGATTCTGGATGACTTATCTCGCTATAGCGAGATTTCATACAGTTCACGTCAATTAAACACTCCTAAATTCAAACAACATGCACAAATAACTAATATAAATTGCAATACTAATAAATAACAAAATAAGAGTGTTACAACTCTTCCACCTTTTAGGAATTTTGTCCTCGAAATTCTCTTGTCACTAAACATATCAAAATCCCCCTTATGTACCTTCAAAGCTCTAGGGTTCTAGAACATTGGATTCTCAACTTGAAATTTCAACAACTTCCTGCATCAGTTGCTGCTACTCTTGCATGCCTTGTGAGATTCTTTCTCCTCTCTAATCATCTTAACCTGTTCATGGTGCTTATTATATTATCTGCTTTAACTCCTTTACTTAAGAAACGTATATTCTATATTTGAATTTGATGAGTTTGCTAATATTGCAATGTAACTCTAGATCTGTCATCACATCATCTTGCTCAAATATCTATTTCCTTATTATAGTTCAAATCTGCACTAGTAAATTGTTGATAATCCTTGAGGATTCCAAAAATAAACTCTTAGGCTGAATTGTATAGTTACTTCCTACTTAACATAGTAGCTACAATACATATTCCATCAAAAGGGTATAACCACTCAAAGTCACAATTCTTCAGAGACTTTACCAACTTACTTCATTGGTCATATAACTCTCCTTAATCGGGTAATTACTTCAATCTTTTGTCCCTTTGATATAGCAACTATAGATCTTCGATGCAAACACCACTGTCGGTAGTTCTAAATCGTATACTAGATCTTTTCCTTCACATGGCCATGCATGCCTAGTGCATAGAAATTTTTCTATACAATTACAGCTTGTACTACAATTCAAATTTCCCTTTCTTCTGATCAAACAAATCTAAAATCGATACCAACATCAATCATTTCTCTCGTTCTTTCTTTTAAATAAAACTTTTTTCCATTGAGCTAATTCAATTAGTCATGTCATCAGTCAAGAAAATTTCTAGATTATCCCAAAAGATCACTTGCTTTTAGCATCCTTACTCTATTAAGTTGATGATGATTTGCAAACATTCTCATGATATGATTCCCCCTCTTTCTCCGTAAAATATAAGTACTTCTCATGACGTCATACTTAGTTTCACAAACACTTTCTACCATGATCTCTTCATCCCAATTAACTACATTCTTGTACAATGAAAGATTTACCGAAATGTACTACTAATCCGTCAATAATATAGACATCACGATATTAATACCAAAATATATCACTAAATTTAAACAACATGCACAAATAACTAACATAGATGGCAATAATAATAAATAACAAAATAAGGGTGTTACAAAAGTAGCTACTAAAATAACTATTTCTAAAATTTAATTATACTAAGTAAATAGATCACAATAAAATCAATTCAAAAAATCAGTATAATATTATCTTACAATTCGTTTAACTATTTGATATTTTTAAACATTTATAGACAATTATGATTAGTCTTGAGTTTGTATGCATTGAATGGTGTTAACAATCATGCATAGAAATGCTAATGTAAATATTACGTTTCAAAGCACAGAATGAAAGTTCAAAACTATATAGTTTAGAGTGAATGTTGGAATAACCATTGTATCTTTACAAGTAATCCATATAAATACTCTCATTACATATCTTCATTATTACTGTGCTACTAGGTAGAATGTGATCCCACTTAAGGTTTAATGTAATCCCACTTAACGTTTGACGTTTAATGCTAATTTTAAACTAATATATTAATTTAATAAATAGAAAAAAATTAATATAATTTTATAAATATAAAAATAGATATTCATAAAAAATACAAATATTTATATAGGGTAACAAAAGAAAGTTAATAACAATTCTAATATCTAAATTTTAGAAGAAATTAACAAAATTGTAAACAAAAGATAAATTTGTTATAATTCAAACACCATTCTCATTCAATTTTAATCCTGAAGTATAATTTTTACTAACGTTTTATTTGTCAAATAATCGACTCTCATTTTACTCCCAGTACATACAGTGTTTCACATAATTTATTTCATATCTAACTTTTACATGATTTATTTCATATTTAACTTTTATATCAAAGAATTACATACATCATTATCATGTTAATAATGATTTATGACATCTATACATCAATTCATATAGAATAATGATTTATTATATGGCTTAGGTAATAATAATAATAATAATAAAAAGAGAATTATTTCACATCTTTAACCCTGACGTTTCCTTAACAAAGATGGAGCACATATTTTGGTTGGTTTCTAATTAATCATAGCATCTTCATGACTCTTTTGTTCAGGTTAACTAAACTGTACAGTGGACTAAATTGATGGACTTCCTTTGGGGATTTTTGTCTTCTATTTCAAGAGATTTGACGTGCGGAGTAGTGAATCAACTACGTTATCCTTGTTGCTTCAACAAATTTGTTGATGAACTTGAAAAAGAAGGCGACAATTTGATTGCCATAAGAAACACCGTCCAAGACCGTAAAGCACACGCCCAGAAACAAGCGAGAAAGTATACTGAAGTGGTTGAAAAGTGGCTGAATGATGCTAACCATAATGTAGAAAAAATGAATCAATTGCTAACAAAGGCAAGAACCAAAAAGACTTGCTGTTTTGGGCTTTGTTCAAATTGGATTTGGAGATACCAGTTAGGAAAGAAGTTAGCAAGTAAAAAAGAGGAGCTTAAAGAATGCACTGAAAAAGGTAGACCATATATACAAATTGAACGCACTGCTACGCTTGCTTCCAGTACGCTTGGTTTTCTCTCAGAAAATTGTTTGAATTTTGAGAGTAGAAAATCTGCTAATGAACAGTTGATGGAGGCACTGAAAAATGATCAGGTTGGCATCATTGGATTGTTTGGGATGGGTGGTTGTGGTAAAACCACTTTGGCAATGGAAGTTGGGAGGATAGCAGAAGCAGAACATCTCTTTGACAAAGTGCTCTTTGTGCCTGTCTCTAAAACGGTAGAAGTTCGAAGGATCCAAGAAAAAATTGCAAGCCAACTTCAGTATACATTTCCAGAAAATGAAGAAATTGAGAGAGCTCAACGCTTATCCGATAGATTAAAACAAGAAAAAAGGATTCTTGTGATTCTAGATGATGTGTGGCAGAGGCTTAATTTTAGAGCCATAGGGATTCCCTCTCATGAAGATCATAAAGGTTGTAAGGTTCTCATCACCACTAGATTTGAAAATGTTTGTCAAGGAATGAATTGTCAAAGAACAGTTCCATTACAAATATTGAGCAATGCCGAAGGGTGGATTCTTTTCCGACAGCAAGCAAATATACATGAAGAAGCTTCCATTCCCTTGAAATTGGCAAGAGACATCTCAGATGAATGCAAAGGATTGCCTGTTGCCATTGCAGCTGTGGCTGGCTCTTTGAAAGGCAAGGATGAAGCTGATTGGAAGGTAGCTTTGAATAGATTGAGAAATTCGATACCAGTGAACATCGAAGAAGGTTTGCAAAATCCTTACAAGTGCCTCCAATTAAGCTATGATTATTTGGACACTGAAGAAACCAAGTCACTCTTATTGTTGTGTTCTGCATACCCTGATGATTATGAAATACCAGTTGAGGAATTAATCAGATATGGTATAGGTCTAGGCTTAAGTGGAGAAGTTGGCTCATATGATGCAAAAAGGAATGAGGGAACTGCAGCTATAAAGAAGCTCATCAGTTCTTGTTTGTTGATAGCTGTTGATCCAGGGTATCATGTCAAAGTGCATGACTTAGTTCGTGATGTAGTCCAATGGATTGCGAAGCATGGGAATAAAGATGTGAATGAATACACTCCACCAAGATACCTATGGTGTGAGGAATTTCCAAATGAACTTGACTGTTCCAATCTTGAATTCATAAGGACAGAAACAAACGTGGAAGCATTGGATGAAATATTCAGAAGAATGAGAAAACTCAAAGTTTTGATTCTCGAATGCAAGTGGTCCCCGAAGCCAATGTCGATGATGTTATTCAAATCGTTGACAAATCTTCGTTATCTAGCCCTTCAAAACTGGGAATTACGGGACATCTCAATTGCAGAAGATAAATGGAATCTTGAAGGTCTTGCATTGATTAGGTGCTCATTCCCTAGATTGTTAGACGATGTTTCAGCTAAAGAATTGACAAACTTGAAATTGTTAGAGATAAAACGTTGTGGGATGGCATGGAGTTATTTTGAAGTGATCCTGAGACTACCACAACTGGAAGAATTGTACATCGTAGACAATAGAATAAATAGTGTTGTTTGCTCTGAAAACTCTGACAAGTTCGTTTTTCCCCAGAGACTGCAACGGTATGACATCCGATTTGGAGGAGACCATTTGGGTGCATCTATTTGCACTCTTGACCGAGCTTTGTTGGTATATGAATTTCACATGTTGAATGAAATTATCAAGGGCTTTGCCAGAAAAGCAGAGAATTTGCATCTGGATTGGATGATGGGATGTGAGAAAAATATCATCCCTGACATATTGGGAACAGAAAGAGGAAGCATGAATGGGTTGAAACAGCTTGCGGTGTCTTCTTGCAACCAAATAGAGTGCTTGGTTGAAAACAACAAGCAGGAGATAGGCAATGTCTTTTCCAATCTGATTTGCTTAGAAGTTGCAGCTATGGAGCAGCTAAGAACCCTATGTCACGGTCATTTGCCTTTCAGCGGGTCTTTTGAGAAATTAGAATGGCTGCATATATATTTATGCCCAAAACTAACTTGTTTATTTGCTCTAAATGAGGTACAATTGGAAGAATTAGAACTATCAAGATATGGTCAGAGTCAAAATGAATTCAAGCGCCAGCTTCCTCTGCAATTCAATTTCTTCCAAAATCTTAAAGGAGTTAGGGTAGATTCTTGTAGAGAATTGAAATACTTATTCTCAATCTGCATGGAAGGAGACTTATCTCAATTGAAAGAGTCAGAATTAGATGAAATCATGGAGGACGAGAAGCGTCAACTTTTTTCAAATCCTCATTTGGAATCTAATCAATATCAAAATTTGCGAGCAAGTACTCCTACTCCACCAACATCATCCTTTGCCACCAACCACCGAGGTACACTACATTATATATTATCTAAACATTTGTAAATAGTTTTTTATTTTTAATTAAAAGATTCGATATTTTGATTTTTAAATGTTTCTTCTCTACCCAGTATGATCTTGAAAAGAAATAAAATCTCATACAATTCTTATATTTATAAAATTAATTATTTATCTAAAACATTTCATGTTCGTTTCAGGATTATTCTCACTGTCATCGCTTCGAGTACTTCAAATATGCTCATGTCCAAAGTTGGGCTCTTTATTTACATCATCCATTGCTAAAACCTTGATCTCGTTAGAAATATTGGAATTAGTTGGATGTGATGAATTGAAAAACTTAATAGACATTGACCATGACCGGGAGAGTTGGGATGCTGTCTTCCCAAAATTGAAAGAGCTCACTGTATATTCCTGTGACCATCTGGAATATATGTTTGGTCCATGTCATCAGAGTATTCATATTCTTCTTCCATCGTTGGAAACTCTCAATCTTTGGGGTTTACCAAATTTTATCAAATTAAACTCTGTGTTACAGGCATCGCCATATTTAAAGGAGTTGAAAAATAGTTACGTGGATTCTGGCCATTCTTCCACTTTCCAAAATCTTAAAAGTGTATATAGTGGGATGTGAAAAATTGGAAGCAATCATTCCTGCATCTTTTTTAAGATACCTACCGGAATTGGAGATTCTGTCCATAATAAATTGCAAAGAATTAAAGCATGTCATTGAAGAGAACACCGAGAATCAGAATTTGTCAAATTTTCTATCGCCACATCCACAGCCATGCTTTCCAAAACTAAAAATGCTGCTTATTGAAAATTGCAACAAGTTGAAACGTTTCATCTCTGAATCTAAATCTGATCTTCCCAAACTACAGGTTCTAATCATCAAGAAAGCCTCTGAGTTAGAAGAACTGATCGGAAAAGGTGACGTGACAGGGAATGTGCAACTTAAGCTTCCAAAGCTGAATGCTTTGATATTTTGGAAATTGACAAAATTTCGCCAAGATATTGAATCACATGTTGAGATGGATCGTGTTGTCCATGATTGTCCAAATCTCTCGTTGACTTCAACTGCCATTCTTGAGGAGCTCTTGCCAAAAATGAAAGGTAAACTCTATTATTTGATAATGACATGGTAACATGGAGTCATCCACAAGTAAAAATTAATAACTTCTTGAGTTAGAAACAAATTCATTTTATAAAATGTAGTCATTCCACAGCTAAAATGTTTTCCTCATTTTGAAAATAATTTACATTTCCTCTCTACATAATACTTACAGGTTGATTACTTCTTTCAAATTTCTTGCCAAACACCTAAATAAAAATCATACTTTATCTTTTGTTGTGACAATATCAATTACCCAAATTAAAGTTGCATCTTCATTCAAGTTTCAACGTCAGTATATTTTTTGTTATAGATGATGTACAAAGAGAGTTTAATCTCTCAGACCAGATACTGCATTTCTTTTTTCCTACAAGTTCACCGCGTGAGGAGTTTACGTCGGGAGACACTGGCATTGAAGATCTGAGCGAAGCCTCTGTAGGAGATGACCCTAAATCTCGAAGAGCATCAGGAAGTGGGTCGCCTTCTTCACAAGTGAGTTATGCCAGCTGAATTCAAACACAAGGATAAGTATATCAAAATTAAATATCTTATATTATAAAATTATAGAAAAAACAAGATAATGACATGGTAGTTGATTCGTCAACAATATAGAAATAGCTAACGCAGTCATGTTTTTGTTTTACGCAATTACTCGTTAATTCTGATTTATTATTTTCAATAGAGGTCGGATCCTATGCCAGAAAACACTTCTCAACTTCAAATGAACCAAGAAGATCCAACAACATCCATTAATGAATTGCCTTCTGCCTCACACAAGTTCTTTGAATCAGAGAGAGAAAGAAAAAGAATACCACACTTGCAACAGTTGGATAAAAAATTGTCACCCATTTCCTCCCCAAACTTGATAGAGGTATATGCTTTTTTCTTTTAATCTTCAGAAAAACTCTATATTAGTAAATAGATATGGAGAAAATGGAAAGATAGATTATTGATTAACGTAGCTTTTGGCATTGTAAAGTGTATTAAGGAAGCAGAGACAATTGGAGAAGTTTTGGCACCAGGGAAACCAACAACAACTACTCCTGTGTACAAAGTACATTCGCATTTAAGTTTGGCTTAAACTAGATTTTTCGATAGAACGACTAATTCATTTCACGTTTGTTTAATATGTCAAATAGGAGTTGGTGGATGAAGGCACTGAACCTGGTTGCTTGGACCAAAAACATGCGCTTGGAGAAGCAATCGTAACAACTGAAAATGCTCAAACGACTGTCATAACGCATGTACATTATTATAAGACAGTGGTCCATCCAAAACTATAATTTTAAATTAAACATCTCAAACATTTTTTTTCCACTTGTGATGAGCAGAGTATTAAGGACGAAGGAAAGAAAGGCATCCAAGACGAGCAAGAATCGAATGGAGATAAAATAAAAACTTTGTCAACTGAGTCTATGGACAACGTTTCTAATGATAATGTTGGGGTTCTTCCAGGTCAGTGCTATCTTACTGTCTCTTTTCCATCGGGTATGCATATATGTCCCCCTTCAACTTTTAGAATCTTTTGCAGATACTTCGTTGATGATTGCAGAATTAGGAGCATATAAGCACCTTGTTGATCTTGATGATGCACAATTTGCTTTGCTGGCGGAGGGAATAACAGTGTATCCTAATCTTTGGAATATCCGTGAACAGATCAGTGAGCGCTTGAAAGCTTTGAAGTTGAAAACTTTAGTGGATATACTGGCATTCCTCAAAAACGAGAGTGCAGTCAGTGTTACTCCTCAGAAGGAAAAGGAGTTCTATATACTATGCAATGATGCTATTCAACTTGGATTTGAGAGGTCATGGATTGATGAAATGCGTGGACGAGTTGCAGAAAGGGACCCAAAGCTGAGCCATGCACAGGCACGAATCAGTGAGCTTCTTAATAGGCATGACGAATTGACTCGAGAACTTTGCATGATACAGAATGAACTCAAGAGTCTTAATGACTTTGTCGACCAGACAAAATGTTTCCATTTTTTGTGATTTGAAAGTCCTTCTGGTTGTGTGAATTTTATATCTGTCTTAATGACTGTTCTTTGGGCAAGAGATTTAACTCTGCTATGTAGCCTTCTGTGACAATTATTATTATTATTATCCATTGGCTGGAACAGTTTAGCTATTTCTTTTTGTTGTTCTATGGGCAAGCAATGTAACGTCACTATGGAGCCTCGTCACAGTTATTATTATTTTATTATTATTAATATTTTATTATGTTCGTGGAGTTTAGCAGAATCATGTTCTCACGTAACAATTCAGGTGACTCCTAGACTGGCTATAAAGGAAAAAAGTTGACATTCTGGAGAAAAATTTGTACTATTCTAAAGTTGTTTTACCTTCTCGAGGAAAAATTGATATATTGGCCCCAAAATCGTGATACCAATAATGAAATTCTTTTGAAAATTTTAATGAAATTCCAATTTTAAACCACACGAAACTAGAAATGAGTTGCTAGCCTAAGATACATCATGTTTCTCCATGCTTGTACATGATCAAAATAATTATATTGTTTGAGTTGATAATCAATTGTAAAACTCTTATATTGGAATAAAGGTTGTCCCCATTCCTATATAGTCAAACACAATTTTTTATGTTTTTGAATCTTTATAATGTGTTAATTCTATAGATAGAGTGTCTACTAGAATTAGCTCATAAAACTCATGTCTTTGTGGTGAAGACGTTGGTACAAAATAACATCTTGGAGGGAATATTGTTTTTGCAATTTCATTTTGTAGTAATGAGAACCATTCTAGTTCTTTGGGCATCATAGGGATACAATCTTCTTTTTCATGGTATTATTTTTCTGGATGAGTCGGATCATAAGAGTGTTTAGTAGTGTTTGTATTTGAGGATAATACTTGGAATTTATTAAAATTGGAAATTAATTTTGTTGGAGTAATGGGTTTTGGAAGTGGGATTTGTAGAGCTTGTAAAACAGTCATTACCTTTTTACCTTTGTCAGGTTTGTAAGAGTTGGTGGAAGGTTGGTTCTTTCTATTTAGGTAGAATGGGTCATTTTTGACATCTTTCTCTTATAGAAATTTTCTCTTAAGATGATTAAGTAAACAATTTTTATTTTCTTTTATATATTTAATTTCAAAATCAAAGTTTGATAATAAAGCTTGTCATATAGTAAAAATACGTTTTGAAATTAAATTTTTAATGTCCTTTTGTAAAACTTGTAGAGCTGTTTTCCAATCTATCTTTATTAAAAATCTTTTATTAAAAAGATCATCTTGAAATTTTTGTAAACATAGTAAATAATATTTCTTTTAACTATAGAATTTTTTTGTTGTACAAAATGTCAGATCCCTGAATGATATCTAACTATTTGTTCTTTGGTATCTCCTTGAAGGATATTTGTTTTAAAACTCCCCCATATCCTAACTTTGAAGCATCAGCTTCAATAATCAAAGAGGCCTCAAGATGTGGGATTCCTAAGCACAAAAGAGTTTTTACTAGGTTTTTATTTTCTTTATTGTATTAGTCATTTCTTCATTCTAAGTTACTGAATTTTTTCTTAATCTTTGTAAAGTAGAGCACATATTGTTCTTATGTTAGGAATAAAATCTGCAATGTAATTTAAACATCCTAGAAATCTACATCCTAGAAATTTTTGTAATTGAGTTTTATCTTTTATTTGATGTGGAAATTTATTGAAAAATTCTAATGATCTCTGAATTGGTGTAATTGTTCCTTGATATATCTCGTATAGAAGAAATCTATTTTTTTTCTTGAAATATTTTCATCTTTTTTGTATATACCACTAATCCTTTTTCTTTTATTAATTACATAAATTTATTTAAATATTGAATATTTTGTTGTATTCCTTTTGAAAATATGAGTACATCATCAAGGTATAGGCACATTTTGTAGTCCTTGTGATGTTACATTCCATTCGTAATGTTTAAAAGAAATTACAAATACAGTTTTATATCTATCTTTCTCTTTCACTGATATCTGATAATATCCTGATTTCATATTAAATTTTAAAAATATATTTATATGTACTAGTCATTTAATTAAATCTTGTGTATTAGGTATTGGATACCTAATCTATTTTAAAACTTTATTTAATAGCTTACTAACCTTGGAGCTCATCTTTTTCATTCAGAGGCTTTGTTAACATAAAATCTTGTACAACTCCAAAGAGATTTAAATGGTCTAATTAATTCTTTTTGTAAATAATCTTTTAATTCTTGTTTACAATATTGTAATTGTTCTTTAGTCATTTGTATAGGTCTTATTTTTGTTAGAATATCTTTTTCATTAAAATCTTTTTCATAAGGTAAACTTATTTCATATTGTTTTCTAGAGTGAAAGGTTATTGGTTTTGTTTCACAAATTTCTTTTTCTATTCTTTTCTCAAAAATTTTTATAATGTTTTGTATTTTTGGGGTTTTTAGTTGTTGTTCTATTTTTTTCATAACTTATTTCTTCATTAATCATCTTGATTTGGGTTTGTTTCCGTTCTATTAAGTTTATTTTACATATTGAAGCTTCACGTAGTAAATTTAATTCTCTAACTTTAGGAGCATGTAAAAATTTGAATTCTATTGATTTTCCTTCTACTACATTACTTATAATTCCTTCATTATTTATATTACAAAGATATAATAGTGTTAAGAAGGGTGTATCTAATATCATTTGATATGCCATGTTTTTAACTAATACAAAAGAAGTTGTAAAGCATATTTTATTTTTATGAATTTTTCCTTTTGATAATATGTATTGTATATACATTTTAGATCCATTTGCCGAACATAGTTTTTCTATTGTTTTCTTATAGTATTTAGTAGGAATTAATCCTTCTTGTATATAATTAATATAAGCTCTCAGTCTATTAAAGTTATCATATTAAATTTTTGTTTTTTTAATGTGAAAGTAACTACACTACCATTTATATGTTGTTACTAACCATAATAATTTCATATTAAATATTTTTGGATGTTTTTTGATATTACTAGTTTGCCCTTTTAAAAGATTTTTACTTTCTAATTCTAATAATTTAAATTCTAGAACTATTTGGTTTTATTTTAACTCATTTATTTATCTTCTTTAATTTTTTATTTCTTCTTGCAAATATTTTATTGTTACACTAGCAATTGGTTGTTTGAGTTTTTCATAAACATCTTTCATTTTTATGAGTTTTATTTCTAACGGTTTTTCTTCTCTTGTAACTAGATCACTTAATTTTTTAATAAATTCATTTCTTAATAATACATCTTCTAATTCCTCAATTAGGGTTACTATTTTCTTCTTCAAATTCTTTAGAGATATTGTCTAATTGATAAATTTTATTTTCTATAACATTTTCATCATTTGAGGTTTTATTTTTAAATTCTTCCAGCTCAGAATTTATTAATATTGTTATTAGAACTTGTTTTAACTCTTCACATTCTAAGGAGTTAATTTTCTTTTTTACTTTACATTGGTCAGCCCTATGTTCATATTTACCACATTTTCAACATGTTCCTTTAAATTTATTCCTTTGGTAATTTTTATTTGTTTTTAGTTTTATATTTTTATTATTTGTATTCTAATTATTTTTAAAATTCTTTTTGTACTTTCTTGGTTTATAATTAGAAATGTTTTGGGATTTAGTATGTTTTCTAATTTGTTTTTTTTTTATACTTTCTACTAGGCGCTTGTACATTCCATTCCATATTAATCACAAAAAGTTCCTAATTCCCTTTTATTCTACCTGTTAATTTTTCTTTTCTCAATTGATTTTGTAATTTTATATCATTACAAACTCTTAATCCTATATCTACTATTACATTATCTATTTGTCCAAATGTTAAAGCTTCATAATTTATTCTTCCTTTTGATCTTGCTTGTAAATTTTCTAATACTTTTCTAGAAAAAAGATTTGGTAATGTAGCTATAAATCTTTCTTTTTAATAAGGTGCTGATATATCTTCTCTTATCATAACTTTAGAGAAAAACATAACATATCTTTATGTCATTGATAGTTGGACACCTTAAATTTGCTAATTGTATTCTTGCTCTTTCTTTGAATAATATAGGATATCCTATGAAATTTTGTATTATAGAATACATTAGAGTCAGCAACATATTTTGTTCACTATTTTCTTGTTTAACATGTGATAATATAAATTATTTATCAGCAGGAGTCATATGATGATCCCACCATCCTCTTAGTTGTCCTGTGAAGTCTTGTATTAAAGCTTCATTAGCTGCTTTATTATATAATTTTTAAAGTTTGTAGGGAGTTGTTGTCATAATCATTTGTTGTGTTAAATCTAATATGGCTTGTTCACTTAGTCCATCTAAATTCTATTCTACAATATCATTTCCACCGTATGAATTTTGTATAAAAATAGATCTTTGTTCTAATAATACATCTAGTAATGTTAGTCTATTATAATAATATTTTATTTTTGGATAATTGTTATTAGATTTTATGTTATTTATTTATGAAATAACTTCTATAGTATTTGCAGAGGGTTTTCCTATACTTAGTCTTGCAACTTTTTCTTTTAATTTGTTTATATCTATTTCTATTCCTTTTTTCTTTTCAAATTCTCTTATAGTTTTTGGTGATAATATTGTTAATTTATACATATGTTTTTCTATATAATCGAGTTTTTTAAAATTATTATTTGAATTTCTACTTCCTTCTTCTTTATTTTTTATTCTAGTTAGATGTTTTGTCATAACTTCTAATACTGTATTAGAATAATTAAGTTATTGATGTAATTTATTTATATATATTATTTTGTCTAATAAATTAATCTTTTTATATGGACTAGCTTCTACTTCTTTATTTATTTTTTTTATTTTTATTTGTTCTTGAGGAGGATATTCTTATTCTATTATTTTTCCTGTTGTTGTTTTACAAGAGGTTGATATTTTATGTAAATGATTTACTTGTTTTAAACAAGGATATTCTATTTTTATCTTTTAAATAATATTGTTTTAACCAAGGAAAGAAGTGTATATTTATTTCTATTTCTTCTAAATATTTATAGAAGGTTGTTCTTATTTTTATTTTATTTTTTAATGAATCTAAGAACCAATTTTTTTTCTCTTGATTATATTCTGCATCTATTTCTTCTTTTATTCATTTTTTATCTATTATAAAAAGTATATATTTTTTTAAAGTATTTAATACTTGAGAGGTATTAGGACTATAATTACCATTACCATTGTTTTCTTGTAAAACAAATTCATATATTGGTATTGATATTCCTGGCCTAGTAGTATTATTTATTCTTCTTAAATTTACATTCATAGTAGAATTATGTATTGAATGTCTTGATGTGACTCTTATTACTTGAGGATTTTGTATTCTTATAGAATAAGATCTATTCATTTTAAGACTTATTTTTCCATTAGATTCTTCTATAATATATCTATTTTTTGTATTATAAATTTTTGAAGATTCTCTTTGTTCTTCTAAAATTCATTTTTCTAAAATCCATTCTTCAAGAATGGTTAGTTCATCATGTTTTAGCTTTTGAGGTACTTATACCATATTTCTATCTAAGTTAGCTTGTATTATTGTAGTTTCATGATTAGATGTTTCTCTCTTAACTTAAAATTCATAGTTTCCTTTTGTAATCTTATGATATATTCTATAGATTAAATGAAGTGAATCATAAGAATAATCTACTACATTGTGTGGTGATTGTGATTTTGTGAATATTTTGTTTGCTTTTGCAGTATTTTCATTATTTAAACTTATAAAAAATTAGAAAAATAATTAAAGAAAGTAGAACCATCTTGTAAATTTGTTTCGAATGCGACTATTATAAAATCTTTTATTTTTAATAATTTTATATCTCTTAAAAGTATTAATATAGGAAGATCTAGGTCTATTCTATAGTTTTACTGCTAATTGAATTAATCTTAAATAGATAAAATTAAATTTATCTTTTTTATGTTTTTGTAATAACTTATCTTCAAAGAATGTCTTTTTTATTTTGAGTATCTAGATAAGAGTATTTTATTTTGTGTATTTATTCATTGTTATTAAAGGATCAAAATTTTTTTTGTTGATACACATATTTTTTTTAATAACTGAAATTGACTAATTATGTAAAGATTTTTTAATATCATTTATTGTAATTTATTATGGCACTGTTTCTGATATTGAAACTCTATCCTCAAATATTTCTTTTTTAATTATTTAATTATTTCTCTCTAAGTTTAGTTTATTCATCTGTTAACTTTAATTTTAAATTTTTCTCACAAATAAAAATAAAGACAAATTTATAATATCATATTGTTTAAATTTTAAATTTATTATATTTTTAATTGATTATATAAGATTTGTACTTTATTTTTCTTTTTAATTCTGTTGTTTTATTTATTATACTTGACCTAATGTGATTTATTTTACTTAATATAAAAATTATAAAACTATATGCTTTGTTTAATATTTTATATATTATTTTCAATCAATTAAAATAAATTTATTATAGGTAAATTTATAACATATTAATAAATATTTTTTAGTGTATATTATATATTAAATTTATAACATTTTTTAATTAAATGATAATCTTTTTAAATAAATTTTAATAATAATTTAATAACCAACAATTTTTGAAATAATGGGTGTGTCATATTTTAAACTTAATATATTATAATTGATAATATAACATATAATAATGTTTTATTTGTTAATTGCATATTACATTTAATAAATATAATATTTTAGATTAATTAAATTACAACCAATCAACCACATAATCTTTATATTATAAATGATAGTTTATATTTTTTAGAAGAAAAACATTCAAGGAGTTAGTTTTCACAAGTACGTTCTAGGATTAAATTTGTCTAAAAATATTATATAAATTATACTTTTTATTGTTGTAATAATTTTCTTTTTACTCACGTCTTTATTAATTTTAATCTACATTTTGAATATTAAAATTTTTATTTAAATTTCTTTTATTATGTTACATAAATTTTAAAAAAATTTCGTGAATACTTATTTTTATATTTACAAAAATTATTTTATCTCTTAAATTTATGGTTATCAATGTATATTAATTATTGACATTTAAATAAAAAATATCACCATAAAATACAATTATTATTTTAAAATAAATTATATTTTAAAATATTAATTTATTAAATTTTATCATTTTTATTAAATTTTATAAAATAATTATTTCTAAACATATAAATTTTTATTATTTAATTATTAAATTATATGTATATTTATTTTAAAATAAAATACTCATACGTTTCGCATGTTATATATAGGAGGAAGAGTTGGAAAAATAGATTGCGTCACGTGTATCTAATAAATTAGGATGATAGCCTGATTTAAAAAATTATTTTATAATTTTTTTATTATATTGTAACTAAATAAGAACGATTCAATTATATTATGTTGTAATTAAGTTTTTAGGATTAAATATAAGTAACTAAATAATAATTGCAAATTAAAAATTTAAATAATAACAATTATATTATTAAATTTCACAAGTTAAATTCTATATCTACATAAATTATAAAATTATAAAATTTATTTTGGGTCTTATGCATTGATTAAAAATTAAAAACAAATTTTCTATTAAAAATTATATCAAAATACATTAAAAAATTATAAAATATTTTAACAATAACTTTTAATAAAACATTTAATTCCTTAATGGATTTAACTTTTGTTTGAACATTTGTTGACCGGTACAAAGAGTACCATGCGTTGTTCTCACTTCTCACGAAGGAGTTTGATATATTATTATACGTGCGGTTCAAAGAGACCCACATGCACCCAAAGCAGCTGAATGGCGGTAGTTGAAAGATCCCACTTCCGTTTTGTCTTTTATACGGAAATAAAGTAAAATTGAAATATTGAAAATCAGTATAGCGCTGCATGTGCCAAACAGCTGCTGAATGTTGAAACTTATTAGAAGCCAGAACAATCCTCGTACCTCTGTGGTCTCTGAGTGTGTCTGTTATCCCAGGTATGTAACAATCTTCCACTTTCAATCTTCGAACTTTTCATCAATTGGTATCAGTTCAGTTTTCTCAAGTGGGCATTTGTAAATTTGATGAACCTCAATTGCAGATTTAATCTTTCTTATTGCTAAAGAGTCAAAGGGTTAAGTTACCATGTTTTGATTAATTTTTCGATTTTAAATGGAATATCAGTTACTCTATTGCTTTGAACAATATTCTTCTGTTTGCATTTTGGGAATAACTGATGCGAACTCTTTAAGTTTTTCATGGTGATGGTTGACTTTAGGATTTGCTTTTACTTATTTAAGTTTGATATATGGTAACAAATTATCTGAGATGACCAATGGAGGTTGGCAGGATTAGCTTCTCACGAAGTGGCTCGCCCTATTGGGAGAAGGACTGGGGGCTGTTTGGTTTAGAAATAATTTTTTGTTTTTACTTTTATTTATAAAACTGCTGTGTTATTTTCATTTTTTCCTATTTTCAAGAACTTGTACAAGAAACAATGAAAACAGAAATAAGTTGTTTTCGGTGATTTCTGTACAAATATTTGAAAATAAAAAATAGAATAAAAAAAGGAGACAGTTTTCTGATTAAAAGTAAAAATTAAATAGGAAATGTTTTCTGAAAACCAAATAGTCCCCCTAATATTTAGACTGTGTTCCTTGCAAGACTGCCTCCAATGGAGTATATTTGTGAGAAACCCAAAGGAAAAAGTATTTGAAATGGAGTTCATCACCATTATGTTTTATTTGTTGGTTTTCTGTTAACTTATATTCTGCATGGAAAATATTTGGCTCAAGTCAACTATACAGCATGGAGATGTTTCCAAATTAAATGGATTTCATTTATTTCTTGGTTACCGTTTGAAGATCTAAATGCTTTTTATAGAGATTTTTTTATCTTAATTCAAATTAAGCCTTGTTCTTTTGTATCTTGATTAATTTTCTAAATGGAGATTAGAACTAATTTGGCATTTTTTTCTTACTTTTTTAAGTTGATGTTGTTCAAGGTACCATCATCTTAATTAAATGGCAGTAATAATGGCTTTGCATGGCTATTATTACAACAATATAAAGTTGCCACATCAACGAAGAGCACTAGACAATCTCAGTTTTCCAAGTTCAATTTCAGTTCATACATTGTTGAAGAATAGAAGGTCAAAATCTGATAAGTCAGATAATGATAAATTTCCTAGACTCCTGGTGAAAATGCGACAGACAGAATTGCCTCCATCAAAATATGGTACCAATGGTAGAGCTGTTAAAATGGTCCCAGCAAGTGAGGTAGTCAAAAGAAAGACAATGTCAGAGAATAAAGTGGAAAGGGTGAGTGGTTCAAAGCAAACTGTTAATGGAGCAAGTTTGGTAAGAAGAGATTATACCACAGCCTTGACAAAGACAATGAAATCTAAAAGCTCTAAAGAACTTCCACCATTGGAAGACCTAAAAGTTTTGCCCTCAGACGAAGGCTTCAGTTGGGCCAATGAAAATTACAATTCCTGGCAGAGGTCTATTGATGTTTGGTCGTTTGTCATTTCTTTACGCATTCGTATTCTGCTGGAGAATGCAAAATGGGCATATCTGGGTGGCTTTACAGAAGAAAAGCAGGTACATTCTGGTGGAAACCCTTTCAACAAACATTTGTTTTATCATATTGCCCATTAGTTTTATAACTGATTAAGTTTCTGTTTGTGTTTGTCCTTTAATGAACTAAAGTTTTTTAACATTGCGTTTCAGAAAAGCAGAAGGCAAAAAACTGCTGCATGGCTAAGGGAGTGTGTATTACAACTTGGCCCAACTTTCATCAAACTTGGACAGTTATCGTCAACAAGGTCGGATCTATTTCCCCGTGAATTCGTGGATGAGCTTGCAAAATTGCAGGTATTTTATATATAGATTTTGTTCACATTTTTTTCAGGATCATTGGAGATTCTTTAATATGGAGTATTATTAAACTTGGACAGAAGATTTGATGTATTTTCAATTTTTATTCTTAATTTTCATAACACATTCTGCAGGACAAAGTCCCTGCTTTTTCTCCAAAGAAAGCAAGAGGCTTTATTGAGAGTGAATTAGGAGCGCCCATAAATGTGTTGTTTAAAGAGTTTGAGGATCGGCCCATTGCAGCTGCTAGCCTTGGTCAGGTGAATTATGCATTTGCAGATGATCATATTTTTCTCATTTCTTGTAGTCAAACTAATGATCTAAATGCATTGATATTAGCAGTGGCCGTCATGTAATGCTAGAACACTATAAATTTGAGTGCAGCATCTTTGTAGTACAGACAATCAGATGAGTAGATGACATAATTCAGTTCTTTTATCTTCAATTATGGGGTCCTATTTGTAGGTTCATCGTGCCATTCTGCACAATGGAGAAAAAGTGGTTGTCAAAGTTCAAAGGCCTGGCTTGAAGAAGCTTTTTGACATCGACTTGCGTAAGTTGTGGTCATTTTGTTTCTGCCATTTTCTACATCTTGTGATTTTGATGAAGTTCAAATTATGTTTGGGATGGATTGAAGATTTCTGAATTGCTTGAGGAAATCCTCAACATGAGTATGTATACAAGATTACCTCCAATTAAATACAATATCCCAAAGTAGACCACCCATGGATAGGATGAACTGGCCCAATCTGCATCGAAGTATCGCACAACTAAAGTGCCTCATTTATCTTTCATATAACAGTTCTTGACCTAGGCCATTCTTAATCTATTAGAAGATTTGTACCACTGCATTCCAATAATCAACACATGGAGACTGCAAGAAGTGACTCGTCATATTCATTGTAAAGGAAATATCTGGTTGGTAATTATGAGGTAATTTAGTTTCCCAAGTAACTTCTTGTACCTGCTCAGATCTGAATAAGGCTCCCTGTCCTTGAAATAACTTGCTTGTTGATCTATTGAAGTGTTAGAAATGAGAATGTTAAGATGGATGAGTGGTCACTGGTCACATGAAAGAATAAGAAATGATTGTATATGTGAGAATATTGGAGTAACCTATAGTGAAAAAGAAGACAAAAAATCATTTAAAGTGGTTTGGTCATGTGCAAAGAAGGCCACTAAAGGCACTACTGAGGAGAGTGGATGACATGACTTTTAGTTTAGTAAAAAAGGATAGAGACCCTGTTGTGTTCACTAGAAAAGAGGATAGAGAGAGACAATCTTTATGAATTCTTTATTGAATTGATGGATATTGTGTATACAATTCTGTTTTCCAGAGCAATACTCCTCAGAGAATTTTCTCTGCCTAATTTCAGAAACTAACTTTTCAGAAGACAAAAAAAACCCTTGACTATTCTCCCAGCTATTATTTATAACTGGCTTTGAAACAGAAAACTAACTCCTAATTGTTACTGTTAATTGCTAACTGCTAACTAACATTATTAACTGTCCTCTTTCTTCTAGAGTACACCAGCTAAGGTTTGGCCTTGTCTAAGTTAGTATTTACAAAGATATTAGGGTTAGGACCCTGACTCCTATCAGACCCAGAACTATAGAGGAAATTATTGAAAGAGATCTAGTGATAAATAACTAAGCTCAATGGCATCGTGTGATGGTGTGATCCATGTTGTCGACATCAGCTAATAGGATAAGGCTTGGTTGTTGTTGATTTATATACAAGTTTGTAGTTTATTGCACTGGTTTCTTCCTATATATCTAAGGCATATTTATTCTGTGAATCATGGTACTGTTCCCAAACTGAGCCGTCTCAAATCCTTAATACCAATAGAGTATATGAGTTTACTTGAGTCCTTAGTCTAAAGTTTATCTGACAAATGCTTCTTTAACAGAGATATTCCCTCAGGTCATTACCTCTAATAACTAGGTCATCCATAAACTACTATTAGCATACAACAATCAAATGAAGCATGGGGATGGAAAACTTACTGATCAGTCTCACTTGGAGTCATACCAAATTCCTGAACACAGTAGGGATTGTTTCAACTTACAACCCAAGCCTGAAATAAAACTTAAGAGCTGAGTCTTGAGAGGAAGGAGGGGAGCTTGAAAAAACTGAGATCAATGAATGGATGGGTTTAGTTGTAGCTTCCTTAGAGAGCAGATTCTGTTATTTCCTTATTTATTTAGACTATATCATAATTATCTAGAAATTTCCATTTCAGTTCGTACTGAATCTATTAATTGTAAATCTGCTCTCAGTTTAATATGTGAGGTATTCTTACATGACCTAACAAATCTTATGGAAAATTATTGGCATATGTATCAGCTTTACAGTTGACTGACTGGCTAGGTAGTTTATACCAATCTGAAAGAGCCAAGTTGACTCAGGAGTTCGGACATGCTTCAATCAGTTACTGTTACATATACTTATTGTTTTCAAGAAAATCCAAGAAAGGATATGCTTACTCATATGTTATATCATATGTAGAAGTCATATAAATATTAATATTGTTTCAAAGATTACTTTATTTTTATATAATCAAATCTGATCAATGGATCTGGATGTGTTATAATTTTCATATCTGATTTGAGCTTTAGTATTGCCAATTATGGTCAACTAGTGAGATTAACATTTTGTAGTTGAAATTTTATTTTAATCTAACAAGTTTGCCTGTCATGTTCAGGAAACTTGAAGCTGATTGCAGAGTATTTTCAGAGAAGTGAAACTCTAGGTGGTCCAACTAGAGATTGGGTTGGTATTTATGAAGAATGTTCAATGTAAGTAATACAAATATTATGTTTGATGCCTACTATTACTAATTAATGTTGTGATCATTTCTAATACTTGGTATGTTGTCTTATGTAATTTATATTCTCATGCATGTGCTACTTTTCAGGATTTTGTATCAAGAAATAGATTATATAAATGAAGGGAAGAATGCTGACAGGTTCCGCCGAGATTTTCGAAACATAAAGTGGGTCCGAGTGCCTGTATGTTTCTAGCTTCAATTCTACATACTACTGGATAGTGGATATTCAGATAGTTTCCGCTTCCTTGAAACTTAAATTACCCTCCAACCTTCCTAATCTCCTGCCTAATATGTTTCAAACATGATGAATGTAACATATATCAATTGCTAATGTCTAACCTTAATTTTAATTTTAACTAAATATCCTTCATTTTCACCTTTGTAGCTTGTTTGTTGGGATTATACTGCATCAAAGGTGTTGACGTTGGAGTATGTACCAGGTTGTCATCTTGATTAGTGCAACTTCCTTGTTTTCTTCTTTCTATATGAGAGGAAGCTAGTAATTTTCTTTCCTTGAAGTGTTGTATGTCATTATGCCATTGAAGTTTGATTTTACTTTCTGTTAACAGGTATCAAAATAAATGAAGTGGATATGTTAGCTTCGCGTGGTTATGATCGATTACGGATCTCCTCACGTACTATTGAGGCTTACTTGATTCAGGTCCACAGCCTTGTTTCTCTCTTAATCTTGATATAATATCTGATATTCAAAATAGTCATTTACTTAGTTCATGAGAATATTTGATTGCCTATATGCTTATGGTTTAATCAACAAAAATTAAATTCTTCACGATAATTGTAGATAAAAATATTTAAGTGTTTAAATCTTGCTTGTCTTTCAGATATTGAGAACAGGTTTCTTTCATGCTGATCCACATCCTGGAAATCTTGCTGTAGATGTTGATGAAGCAATTATTTATTATGACTTTGGCATGATGGGGGAGATAAAATCTTTCACCAGAGAGAGACTGCTTGAACTGTTTTATGCTGTTTATGAAAAGGATGCCAAAAAGGTATAGTTTTCTCCTATAAATTATTTAAAACTTGGGACATTATCATAACTAGCACTTCCAATCTGATATCTGGATAAGGTTTTTTGGAAAGTTGTTTTCTTTTTTTTTGTCTTCCTATTTGTGTCTTGTAAAGTAAAGATGTGTAAGATTACTAGGAATTTGATAGATATCAAAATATGAAATTTAAATAGAACTAATATGTTAGAACTTTATTTCATTTTGAAAAATGAATACAATGATGGATTATCAAATCTGTCACCAAATGCACAATTAATGAGCACTTAGGGTATGTTTGGGAGTTATATTTAGGAGGGAAAGGGAGGGGTTAGGGAGGTTTAATTGTTGTTTGGGAGTTAATTAATTTGGAGGGGAAGGGTTAGGGGATTTTTCTAAACCCCTCAAAACCCTCCTAAACTTAATTTTGTGAGTTCTCCCATTTTAGGGGGTTTTTTAGTCTATTAGAATTTTTTTTTAATATTAATTATTATATGAATGAAATAGGAACAAAATAAATATTTTTAAAAAATTGTGATGTTAATTTAAAAAAAATATTAGTTTTTAGAGAGAATTTTTTAAAAATATAAAAAAATTAGAAATATGAATTTTAAAAATATTAATTTTTAGAGGGAGAAAAATATATAATGTGTATTTTTTGAAAAAAATTAAAGAAAAAAATAGCAATAAATTAATATTTTTCAAAATATATTAATTTTTAGAGCGATTTTTTAAAAAATTTATAAAAAATAGAAATATAATTTTTAAAATATATTTTTAGAGTGATAGTTTTAAAATATATTAGTTTTTAAAAATATTAATTTTTAGAAGAAAAATTTTTAATTTTTGTATTTTTTGAAAAAATAAAAAATCTAAATAAAAAATATAAAGAGTAATAATATCATTTATATATTTAAACCCTTTATCACCTTCCCTTCCTTAAATTAAACATCTAAACAAGGGAGGGGGTTTAATCCCCTTTCCCTCCTTCCTCCTTTAAACCCTTCCCTTCCCTTCACCTCCCTTCCAAACTCCCAAATAAAACCTTACAGAAGAAGTGTCCCTTATTAGACATAAAAACTACCCTATTGAAGGCAAATAAGGGATCCCCCATATATAGCTCCCTCAGCTCCTATATGACTTGATCAATCCTCCTCCCTTGAGCTACCTTTCAACGTTGATTTACGCCTAATCCATTTCTAATCTAGTTGCATTGAAAAGTAGGATTCTGGGTGTCTCACTCTAATATCTTATGATATTCAAAAGTTGCATTCAAAAGAATTTTGGGTGATAATATATTAAATATATGTAAATATGTTATTTAGGAAAATAGTATTCATGTAATTATTGTAATTAGGTAACTATATATTTGCTTTTGATTATGTAACTATGATTGTGATTACCTTGTTAATATAAATACACAACACGTGGTATAGTTGAAACACTAGAATTCATCACACACCTTCCCATTTTCTCTCATCTTAACATGGTATCAAGAACCTAATGAGGAGGTAACCCTAACCTGTGCTTTCCTTGTGGACCCAGGTGTCAATCCTTTTTTTAGAAACTGTCTCTGGTTTTTGGTTTTTTTTTTTTCAGCAGCTTACTCTATTGGCCACCACTGTTCACCGCCGGCAACTTTTCCAATGTTTTTTTTTACCGGCTTCTCACCACTAGACTCACCTCACTGTGTGCAACAAAATCTGATCACCATGTCACAAATGGAGGTCCCACACGCCCACAAATGCCACCTCCTTCTCCAATGCCTTTCTGTCTCTGCCACCACCTCCACTGTGCGTGATGACGTGTCTGACAAATCTTTGACCTCCTTCTTTGCTGACTAGGCTCACCTTGTTGAGACAATTCTAGATCTGTGGTCCTTTTCTTCCTTTGAGTTTTGAATGCTGTTGTTTGCCCCATTTTGCTTTTGTTTGTTTTTTTTTTCCTCTCTCCTCTAGGCTGACCCATGGTGACTTCGCCTCCTCCCAAACATGAAGCTTCTATTTTCACCAACTTTGTCACTGCCCCGCTGTCTAATGACAAGTTGGATGACAATAACTATGATTCTTAGGTCTCTGACATCAAACTTTAGCTCAAGGGTCAAGATTATCCTGACCATCTCAATATCGAAGAAGTAATTAGAGCTGTGACTAAACATGCTAAATGGAGTAAGATTGATGCTCAGCTTTGCGGTGTCATCATGTCCACTATTCATCGTTTTGTAAAGTAGATTTTTCACTACATGATACGTGTGAATTGTTTTGGTCACAAGCCAAGTCACTTTACACCAATGACATACAGAGTTTGTATAGAGTATGTCAAAATCTCATGGATGTTGTTGCTGCTTAGAAACTTGATGGCACTATGTCGACTTATTTGGGCAGTATGAGTGGTTTTCTTCATGATTTCAATGAACTTCTACCTCTTGTTGCAACTGTTTCCATGGAATTGGAGTACCGTAAGACATTTTTCATGTTACTAACTTTGTATTGTTTACCTGTAGAGTACTCCCTAGTTCGAGATCAGATTTTAGTACCCACTTCTGCTCCAACTATGGCTACTACTTGGTCCTCTTTGCTACGCATTCCTACCAAGCTCACCACTGCCTCAGATGTTCTTTTGGCTCTTGTGTTCCACCTTGATCTCACAGGGAGGTGATCGCGGTCCCTCTTGTAAGACTAATGGTGATCGTCGTTCATGTTTTGACCACTGTCACAAAATTGGCCACACTATTGATCGTTGTTATGCTCTGCATGGTCGATCCCCTTAGAATAGCCAATGTAGTGCAGCCTGCTCTTCTCGAATTTGCTTTGCAGTTTGCTCCTACTGAAACTGCTTCCACTTCCAACATCCCACCAACACTCTTCAACGATTTCCTTCGTTGGTATGGCTGTATTGATAGTCTGTCAACAATTACCCAAATGGTTTCAAAACCCTTAGACTTAGGAAGGCTGGTGATGAAATCCATGGAAATATCTTTCCAAATTCTATTAGGTATGGCCAAAGGTTGTTACCTCTAGAAGCTGTAGCTAAATACTTCTGTCTCTGGCGAATGTCACACTCTTTCACAAACTGTTGGATGCACTCCTTCATCCCAAACCAATACAAGTTGGCTGCTACATGTGTCCTGAAAAACCCAGAATGGCCCCCTTGAGAAGTGGAATGAAACTCCCTTAATAGTTCCAGAATCTAGGGAGAATTTTCAGAAATCACCAATCTCCCTTTGTAGAGAAACACACCATTATTACAAGAAAATCCTTGTCTTGCTTCCCTTCCTTGCTGTAAATTTTCAATGATCCCCTTCAACTTTTCATTTTTGTGAACCTCATTAATCACCATACATCCTTTTTTCCATCTTGGGTAGTGAATCAAAGTAGTCAACTCTCTCATCATGCATGCTGGGTGCGTTTTCCAATCCTGGCTTATATATGATGTCGAATTTATACCCCAAAAGTTTGGCAGCCCAATTTTGTTGATCCATGGTGGTTACTTGCTGTACCAATAATTGTTTCAAGCTCTTTTGGTCAGTGCATACAGTGAACTTTCTGCTCAGTAGATATGGCCTCCAGTGTTGAATAGCTAAAGCTATAGCCGTTAGTTCTTTTTCATAGGCAGACTTAGCTAAGTTTCTCATTGAGGGCTTTGCTGAAATAAGCCATAAGTTTTCCTTTTTTTTGTTAAAATGGTGCCCAAACCCTGCCCTGATGCATCACTTTCAATGGTAAACTCTTCATTGAAGTCTGGCAAGGTTAAAACTGGTGCAGTTGTGAACCTCTTCTTGAGCAGGTCAAAAGCTTCTTGTGCTTGGCAATTTCATTTAAACCCCTATTTCTTTGTCAATTAAGTCTACACTTTTGCTATTTTACCATAGTCCTTGATAAATTTCCAGTAATACCCAATAAACCCCAAAAAAACCTCTCACCCCATTCACACTCTTAAGCGCAGGCCATTGTAACACATACTGGAGTTTATTGGGATCCATTGCTACTCTTTGAGAAATGATGTACCCAAGATATTCTATAGAAAACTAGGCATAGTGGCACTTCTTTTGATCTGCAAACAATAGTTGTTTCCTCACAATTTCCAACACCGTAGACAAGTGAAATAGATGGGACTGCCAATCCAAACTATACACCAAAATGTCATGAAAGAATACTAGCACAAACTTTCTTCTCACCACTCTTCTCTATTGGGCTCTCAAAAAACCTTGAACCTGTTGGCTCTAAACACCTGCGACCTTTGATCTGTTGCCCAAGACTCGTGCTGGTATCTTCCCTCCATACCTTCTTTTCCACCACTCGAGCTAAATTCATCAACTGAGAATGCGGGATGGGACCCAATGCCTTGAGACAACATATAGGGTTGCAAATTTCCTCTTGTAACCCATGCAAGAAGTACCCATAATGCTGATTATCAGGAAACTTCTTCACCTTTGCTGTATGGTGTTCAGACTCGTGTGTATACTGTGTATACTCATTAACACCTCCCCTCTTCTGCAACACCGCTGATTGTTCATAAATATCACCATCTCCTGTAGCTCCATAAGTCATCAAGTTGATTTTAAATTGATCCCACGTCAAATCTCCATCATTATCCAACATGGAGTTAAAAATGGATGGTGGCACCTTCCATGCAAAGTTGGGTCAAATTGATGCACACATCTGGATTGGTCTCTTGCACTCGAAAATTTCAGCACGAGTGATACATGCTACAGGGTCCCCTCCATCAAACATGGGGAATTCAATTTTCTTCATAGATTAGGAGAATTCATCAAAGGAATTCCCTTGCTTTTGTCCTCCTTATCCATTGAAACCTTGTTCTCCAATTTCTTTTTTAATAATGTTATTAGTTGTGCTTGATTCTCCTCAGCTTGAGCTTTCATCCCCACCATGGTAACTTTGATGTTAGCCATTTCGTTTTTGACAACAGCAAACTTTGCTTCCATTCCTCTTCATTTCTTCACCTTCTTTGGTGGCATTCACTTCGGTCATCGTGCCTGAAACACTAATCCCTCCGAGTGGATCTAAAATCTTCCCTCTCGTATATCTAGTAGGTCAGATAAGTTTGATGCAAACCAGTTAAAAAAACCAGGACATATAAAGCAATTCAAACAAGGGAAATAGAGAGAATGATAGTGGTATTATTTGATATGAAAAGGAAATTATTAGAATAAGTACTATCGCCACAGAGCTAGGATGCTATAGAGAGCTAGTTCTCTCCGTCCATAACCAATTTCTCGATTCTGAAAAAGAGACCACTCTCTCACATACCAATCCCACTATAACGGACTCCTCCTTACTTGGCTAACAACTTACTTGCTTTCTGGCACATCACTTTCCTTGCCTATACATTTCTTCTTTCTTCTAGTATAAACTCTCCATAGTGTGGGCTTGGTCCCATTTGAGCCCATATTCTCAACCTCGTTTCTAACATATATATGGATAAATATCACTATGATGATTGCTGAGGTGCTTATCATGTAAGTTTGTTGCTGGTTGATTATTTACATGCTATAAGTAACACATCAGTGTGCTGCCTAGAGGCACACAATTTCCCTCAAACTAGTTTCAACAGATCATTGGCTTGACCTTCTGTTTTATTGCAAATTCAGTTGTATGTTTGCAACTGATTAACCAGTGACACGTGGAATAAGGAATCTGAAATTACTCTGAACTTGAACTTAACATTTCCACAGTCTTTTTCACGTTTACTTTAAACTTTCTGGTGACAATGGTGCAGGTTATGCAAGGCCTTATAGATCTTGGAGCACTCCAGCCCACTGGTGACCTGTCATCAGTAAGGATATTTAGTACCTGTACTCTTTTAAGATGATCATTTAGTAGTTTCAAATTATGACACATATCTTGATCTTATAAATTTCTTTGTATGGCTTCTAGGTGAGGAGATCTATACAGTTTTTCTTGGACAATCTTCTAAGCCAAACACCAGACCAGCAACAGACTTTATCTGCAATTGGGGAGGTACATGAGTATTTAGTTATATTGGATTGATAATATCTTAGTTTCATGACTTCATCATAATTATTTTAGGTGATTGTTTCACAGTCAATGAAGATAAGCTGAAGATGGAAAATCATTGGTTTTCTAGCTTGTTTTAAGTTATCTGCAAAATTAATACTATATGATTTGAAAATTGATGGTTTTCTGTGGCAGGATTTATTTGCAATAGCACAAGACCAGCCATTCCGTTTTCCATCTACCTTCACCTTTGTTATTAGAGCATTTTCTACACTTGAAGGTTTACCTCCTTCTCTTCCCTTATGCCTCTTTCTCTCTCTTGATTGGTGATCATTCTTTGAATTTTTATCTACAAACATGCCCAATGCATATTGTTAATTTAATTTCACAACACTTTGTGCATTATAAGATGACTTGAAAAAAGGAACAAAATATTATTGAATAATATTTGAATTGCTTGAATAATTGAGAGCCTGTACAAAATACATTTATATAGACTACTAGTCTCCTAATTAAGGAAATAAAAAAAATTGCACAAATCAAATCAGCCAAATCTGTCCTAATTATGGAACAAATCTAATCTGTCCTCATTACAGAACAAATCTCCTAATTATATTTTATAACAAGATGATAATTCACCTTTTCTATGGAAATGCTGTAAGACACTAACAATAAGAACAACTGTGTAATTATTGTAGATTGTTTGATGAATTGGGCATTTGATATGGTTTGATCGTTTTGAATTTAGGTTTGAATCGACTGAATTAGGCATTTAGGATTGGCATCTTGGAGTGTAGAGATTATAGGAATGAATTGACTATTTTTTCATTTTTTTAATATTGCACTAAGAAAGTCCTTGGATCAGGTAGATTACATTTGAAAAGTTGTTGACTCAGGTAGGTTGCACTAGGAAATTCATGGGACCAGGTTAAATTTGAGCTTAAACCTAAATAATTCCCCTAAGTTAGCTCATAAGATAATGTCTGCCTTAGCTTTTATATATTCTGCACTAGATAAGAGAAGTTGATCTCTTATCTGATGGTGATCCTATTTATTGAGACAAGAGAACGAGAAACATAGGATGAATAAGTGTGTTTTGACTACACACTGGAACATATATTTATAATAGGAACTATTGATACAAAATAAGAAGTTACTATAATTACAAAGATACTAATTTCTCCATTTATAATATTACGATAATTACATAATTCTAACACTCTCCCTCAAGCAGGGGCATATAAATCATATACACCAAGCTTGTTGCGTATATAACTAATTCGAGGACCTCTTAAAGACTTGGTATAGATATCTGCCCGTTGATTATGAGAATTTACAAAGCTAGTAGTGGTCTTAAGATAAAATCTTTTCTCTAATGAAGTAAAAGTTTATCTCAATATGTTTGTCCTCTCATAGAAAATTGGATTTGACGCAATATGTAAAGCTCCCTGATTATATCACAAATAAGTGTCATTGCTCCAACTTCTCCAAATCTTAATTCTTTGAGTAGTTGTTTAAGCCATATAAGTTCATGAGTGGCTAAAGCCATGGCTCGATACTCTGATTCTGCACTAGACCTTGCAACTACATTTTGTTTCTTACTTTTCCAGGAAACTAGATTTCTACCACTAAGGATGCAATAGCCAACTGTAGACCTCCTATAACTAGGTGATCCTGCCAATTTGCATTTGAGTACCCCCAAACTTACCACAATGCTTACTATGAATATGTACAAATGCAAATACAACAAAACACATGACATTCGAGACTATTCATAATAGGAATAGAAGAAAAGAAAGAGGACCTAACCTAGATAGGACTAACTCCATCAAGAACACGAGTGGGTATCCTATTAACCAAATAACTTGTTACTAGAAACCCAATAGAACTTAGGCACACACATATGAAAAAGAAGAGCACAGACTACTTCCAAAAGGTGACGTTTTTCCTTCTAGCAACTCCATTTTGTTGTGGAGTGTCATGTAAGCTCGTGAATTATCCCATTCTTTTGGAGGTCAAAAAGGTGGCATGTGAGCTTCACGAGCCAGTAGTTGTAGCAGTGCATGGAGGCTGGATATGGCCAATCTTAACGGTGCGATTCTGGTGTTAATGTTTGGCATGAGTTGCTGCATCATTAGTAAATGGCATGAGTTACCAAGGTAAGTCTGTGATAGAACTGGTACAAAATTACCGAAAGAACTTCTGACTTTATTAAGAAAACCCTAATTCCCAAATCACTACCAGAGTGATAGTGATTTAGAATTGGGTGAAGGAATTACAATTGATTACCACGAGAGTTTATTTGAGAGAACCCCACTCTCCGATCCTTCCTAGTTACCAATGACAAGAACATAACTATCCTACGAATCCATCATATGATTATTTATATCGGTAACTAATATACAAATTACAGTTATCATAACCACTAAAATCAAATAGTTAGCAAGTTTCCCGCCTATTCCACTCCACTTCTTTCTATTGTACACTCTTTCGAACCTATAAATGCACAGCCAGCCTATGTGAGCGTAGGGGCTCGGAGCATGATGGGATGTTAGGATTCAGTTGTAAGTTGTGGGACTTGAGTCTCACATTGGAAGTAAGAGATTCTAATGTGGGGCTCTCCAACTACAACAACTAGCTTTTGAGTTGTGGTTCTCCCAAGGTTCTTATCAATTGGTATAAGAGCCTTCTCCCATGTCTCCCAGCTGCAAACAAGCGGCGCATTCTAGTGTTCACTAGGGACTTGTCAACTTTTTAAAAGGGATTAGAGGGACAGTGGTGAATTGACCAAGGTATTGGAATCATAGGTCAAACCAGCGCTTGCCATACTGATTATGAAACAAGAGAGGGGAAAGGGTTGTCTGGGTCTTGGCAGGTGTCTGGAGGGGCTGTTGGTGCACGAAAATGGTTGGAAAACAAAGTACATGCACGTAAACATTGGAGCATGGGGGTATTTGCGGTGGTGTCTTGGTTGGTAATGGTGGAGGATGGCTCGTCAGCAGAAGGAGCTTGTGGTAGCTATGGCTTGCTGATGAAAGGAGTTGCAGCAGCCAAGATCTGGACCAAACAGTAAGCACAACTACTCTTCACGCTGCAGTAGCGAGAATATATGCATGTTCTAGGGCAGAAGGTATCTAAACTAAACAATCGATGCCACAGAGAGAAGATATGTCTGAATGTTATGTGTAGTGTAGGTGCACATTTGAATCTTATTTATAATCAGATATTATGGTAAATAGAATCAATTATAAATACAAATAAATAAATCAAATTTCTAATTTACGGTACCTGCTAACATGTGTTAAATATGCTATCTAACAGATATATTCTTGCCTAGAAATTAAGTCAGGGTGGTCATACTCTGCTTTGAACGTTCATAAGGAAAACTCACTGTCCTACCTGTGTAAGTTGATGACATCATCAAATCTTTGGATAGTGTGATTTAGAAATGACTGCTACAGGAGATATTAGCTATTGAGTTTGAAATGAAGGACCTTGGGGTAGATTGAAGTACTTCCTTGGAATAGACTGTAAGGAACTGGTTCAGTTCTTGAAGAAAGAAATAGAAGGGTAAACTTTTCTTTATTGAATATTCTCTGTTGGGGCAGAATTACCCACACTAGAGGAAGAATCAAACGAATACAAAGAACATCTCCAGGACTGAGAGCCTGGTCTCTCCCACCCGAATTACTTTTGTCTAACCGAATGCCACCCTTTCTCTCTAACTTTTCTATTTATTCTGTCATTTACAATTATCCTCAACTAATTGGACTTCTCTCATTCTTTTGGGCCTCCTTACATAGACTTCTCTAATTGGGGGTTTGGGCCTACTACTAACATAGACATAAGACATTGCCTATTTCAAACAGTGTGTTTATCTCCCAAAGCAGGTAAGTCCTTCATCTTCTTAGAGAGAGGTGAAATTTTGGGTGTTAGGCTACTAGATTACAATTGAGCAAGATTATCGCAATGGAAAATGATGAAGAAAAACCCAAAGGTAAATACTTGATATAGCTCACTGCTTCACGTTTCTTTTTGGACTTTAGTCAGGCAGTGTGTTAATCTAGGAGAGGTTTCAAGATCTTACTAGCAAGTTGGGAGTGATGAATATCCATTCACCAACATGAGGAGGAGCCATGTAAGACTGCACAACTAGAATAATTGTGTAATCACTGTAGATTCTGTGAATATTAGGACAGATTATATGGTTAGGAAGCCTCGGATATTATTTTTTTAGATTTAGATCCACTCTAGGTGCATAGTTATTCCTCTAGGTCTATTTAATGTAACTCTCTTTACAGAATAATTGTATGAAATATTTTTAATTTCAATTTTCCATTCAAGTGCTACTAAGACCTAGTAACCTACTTACAATGTAAATAGCATAAGAATGAGAAAACAACATTTCTTAATATTTACTTTTTCTTTGTTATTTAATCTACATTTTAGTTTTTATTTTTGTGCAGGCTTAGGTTACATGCTCAATCCAGATTTCTCTTTTGTGAAGATTGCTGCACCTTATGCACAGGTCAGACAGTCTATGCCCTGTTATTGTTCCTATTTTCTGTTAAAAATGTAGCACTTATACGTATTTATCTTACAGGAACTTTTAGATGTAAGGCAGAAGCGGCGCACTGGGCCACAACTTGTGGAGGAGATAAGGAAACAAGCAGATGATGTGCGACACCTTACTTGGAACTTTATCTTTTCATTCATTCTAGATAATGGGTCTGTTTGGAAGATTTGATGAAAAACTTATGGAAAATAGCCTATGAAAGCTGCTTTTAGTTTATTTCAATAAGCTTCTTGCTATAACTTTTCAAAATAAGTTATTTTCAACTTATCCCAACAAGTTTCATTGTTGAATTTATTACATGTCATCATTTTAAAAGAGATCTTATTGCATAAGAGTTCAAATAAGTTGTAAATAAATAATATAAAAATTAAAAAACTATGTGAAACATTATTTTAATTATGGAATTGTGTATTCACTTCAATTCATAAGTCTCTTGGAAAATTTTTAGGCGAGAACCAATTCGATATCAATGCCATCCAGAGTTCAGAGAATAGAGGAATTTGTCAATCAACTTGAGACAGGAGATCTGAAACTGAGAGTTCGAGTACTCGAGGTGAGCAACTTCTTAATCTTCACATGGTATATGTTGTCTGTTCAATTTGAATCACCCCAGATATGGAGAGTAACCATTTCTAATTAAGGTTAATGTGGTTTCTCTAAAGAATTTTGGTGGAAAGTTACAGGACTTGTCTATGAAAAACTACTTCCTTGACTTTTAACCAAAATCTTTAGAGCTTAATAAACAGTCGAAAGTAGGTAGTTTTTTTTCTACAACATTTTTCTCCCTTAAATTGAAGTCGTGTAACTTGACTTGCTAGTCTGAAAGAGCTGCTCGGAAAGCAACAATATTACAAATGGCTACTATATATACGGTATTTGGGGGAACCTTGCTAAATCTTGGTATCACTTTAAGTAGCCAAGGCAATCAAGCTTTTGCAAACGGATCGTTCTTTGGTGCAGGTGGCATTTGTATCATATACTTTTCTCAAATATTGTTTAATCATGTTCAAGTTTACATCATCTGTGTTCTTGTGACTGATTGGTATCAACTTGTCCATATGCAGGTGTTTTTGTGTTACTATTTTTCAGGTCTATGCAAAGGGTAAAGAAACTTGATAAGTTTGAGAAAATGATATAATCCGTTCCCAACAAATTCAACTCCTTCAATAGTCTGCAAAGGATACAGAAACTTTATCTCCATGTTCTTGCTCATCAACATTACCATTCATATTTTTGCAAAGAAGCATAGTAAGATATACCAATACAAGTTGTACAGAAACATGATTGGAGGGTGATCTAGATGAAGTGAATATCGTAGTTTTGTAAGGAGAAAAGAAATTTGTCATTAAACATAGATACAAAACTTATCCAAACTAGTTTTTGTTTTCACATTTTCATTCTAATTATAGCTTCCCTAGTACTCCCAAGTTAATTTTAGTATATGCCTTAAGAGGCTAATTGTATACTGACCTTCCTAATTTACATTGTTCAATGCCATTTATTTAATAAAAGACGTTTCATTCATTGTGTTATTCTTTTATTTCAAATGAGCATAGAAAATCCTTAGAATTGTAAGTTTAATACCATATGGAATGAGTGCACAAGTGTAAGAAATTGCATATTGAAATTGTTGAAATAAAGTTCTAGGTATAAAAGACGGAAATAAAAGAGATTGACACACTAAATTGATACCAACCTTTATTTTACTAATTATAATCTTAACTAATTCGGAAAACAAATTATGATAAGAAAATTTTGCTCCTAGTTAAAAAAAATGTAAACAAAAACAAATATCCAAAAGATAATATAAAATATGATTAAATGTGATAAGATGTGTTTATATATTTTAGCAATTTGGTAATAGCAAATTGCACGAAACGTAAGTATATATATTAACTATAAAAAATAAATGAAAAGCCAAGTATACTCACGTACACCATATAGCAGCAAACATGTGTTTTACTTAAAAATCCATATGATAAAATTATAGGCTTTCTAACAGATTTTTAAAAAAAGAGTTAACAAAAATTGTGAGTTTAAACTTTCAACGTCTTTGTGGATATGAATTTATAATGAAAATGTTTCTAAGAACTTCAAACAAGAGCATTCTTAGGAGTTTGTTATCTTTCTCATCATGTCTAAAGTGATTTTTTTCAATATTAAGCATTTATTTTTAACTTCAAATTTAATTTAAAATTTGAATTTTGTATAATTGTTTTTATTTATTTAGAAATAAAATGACATTAAAAAAATTAAAAAAAAGTTATATTTTGATGGATAAAAGAATGCATTCCACCAAGAAAAGATGGACAAATGCCCGTAGAATTATAAAGGATGTTGACATCCCAATCCTTAGCAAGTCAAATAATAAGAGTTCTAATGTGCTTCCATTTGTTGCATGAAATAAGACAAAAACATTTTTTTTTAAAAAATCTCTAAATACTATTAATTGTTGATTAAGTTCAGATGGTTAAAAGTGAAAGATAAGAACGAGTGATACAAGTTAAATTTATAAAAGGATATATTAGTAATTATATATATATATATATATGTGTGTGTGTGTGTTCATATTTTTTATTCTCTTTCTCTTCTTCGTTTTTCTCCTTTTCTTCCTCTTTCGTTATCATTTCATTCATATACATGAATTTGTTCACTATCTACCCTACACTGGTGACTACGCAGTTGAGCACCATCACTTTCTATTTCACTTTGTAGCTATAAATTATGATTCATCATCAAGAATTTGTAAATGGTAGAACTCTTTACACAAATAAATAAATAAATAAATACTAAAAAATTAGAAAAAGTTAGAATTTTAGAATCTAGTTTTTGCAAACCCCCTTCAAATTGGATAGATCTCAAAAAATTATATGAAATAGACATATAATTTATATAAATCCGAGTTTTATGCTAGAAGTTATATCCATTTAAAGTTTATGACATTAAATACAACAAATTTTTTGAAAACTAATGTAAAAGATGACATTTTTTATATTGCTACTTTCACATCGATTCACATAGAGAATCAATGTAAAAAATATTACTTTCTACTTGATTATATATATATATATAGGGTAGGATCTTTTTACACTAGTGTAAATCTAAAAACTCTTAAATCTAATGGAGTTATAATTTATTATTTCATTAGCCGTTAAATTTAAATGAAAGATTCAGATTGAGTATAAAAGTTTTTAGACTTATACTAGTATAAGTAGATCCTTTATATATATATATATATTAGTTTTTTTTAGAGAACAAATGTAAAAAGTAATATTTTTAAAAATATATATATATACTTTTTACATCTGTTCTTTTAATTTGTTTTATTATCGTAGACTTATTTTAAAGTAATTTTTTCCTTGTTTCATATTTTGAGTTGGTTATTTTAATTTTTGTTGCTGTTTTATAAGTGTACTGATAGTAAATTCTTTACCATATCAAACGATGTGGCTAACGAAATTTGGTGTGTGTAGGGACTGTAAATATGTTGACTTCGGTCTACACAAATGGATTGACTCCTTACATCCAACTAGGCTTGTCTTCCTTTAGTGTGAATTTTGGCTAAGATCTTCTTCAATTTAGCCGTATGAAAACTCTGGATTTTGGCTTTCAATTCAAGCTTGATTTTTGTATGATTTTTAGCATAAAATTTCTGTAAACTTGCTTCATTATGGGTTAATTTTCTTTTCAATTTTCTTAGCCTTTTGTGCTTAAACCTAAGGTGTCGTTGTCCTATACGAGTACTAATATCTAACAAAATTTTTGAACTAATTTATCCTAACCACTTTTGGAACTATCGATCATAAATTGTTCTTGAAATTGAAATGTTAGAAAATATTTGACATTAATGATTTGGGGGTGCATGTGCACATTTCATAAGAGAATTTGAAAGAGAATGAGTACACTTAATAGGAGGATTGGAACTCCCCATTGGTGAGCAAGAATTATTGAGGATAAAGGTGTTATAAGAACATCAAGGAGTATTGACATGTGAGTTGTACTTTGGTTGTTGAGGAGGTTATCACCCTACTTTGAGCATTAAGACCTAATATAATAAATGAATACTTTGAGTGTTGTGTAAAAAATATTTTTAGATAATATAATTATTCCATAGGAAGTAAAATTTGAGTCTTAAGGGGAAGAGGTAAAGTCAGTAAACTAGAAATTATTGAAAGGCATGCTTGGGGAACATGAGGATGGGTACTTGCCAATCTTAGCATAGGATCTGAATAGTTAAGGGGACATGGTCCTAAAGAATTGCCTTCACTTAGAGTGCAGTGGGATATAAAAATAAATATATTAGACTATTCAAATGACAAATGGGTATAGATGTTCTCTCCTGTGGAAAAAAAGTCATTGTATCTTTAATTAATGTAATTCGAATGATAGGAAGGAACACAATAACAACCCAAGAGATACTTAGAGTTTGAACTTCACATAAAGTCCTTTGACTGACCTTAGCAAAGGGCTCTAATTGTGAGTCTCTATGCATTATTCTTTTATCCCTACTTACTTTTAAGATATACTATGTTAGTGAAGCTAGTTGCAGAGGTTAGAGGTTTGAGTCTTCACTATTATATAAATATTTGTTTGACTATTAAGACTCTTAACAACTTTCAAAAATAGAAATAACTCCAAGAGTCATATTAAAGTTGCATATTTAGATTTTGATATGCATTGTTAATTTAAATTTCACTTGATTTTAATTTTAGTGGATATGTCATTTGATCTACTATAATCTCCTTTACTCTTTTCTTGAATTTTGTTACTTTTTGATGCTGCATCTAACTCCTTTGTTTTCCTTGGTAAATTATGCTTTTGCCTTGTCTTTTCCTTTTAGTACTTACAAATTTTAAAGATGTTGATTCCTAGTGTTTTCATGGACATTGACAACCAATGTAAAATTTTTTTTGTTATTTTAAAAAATGTCATTGTGCTTTTTATTAAATCGGTTAATTATTAATTGATGTAAACATTCAATGTAATTTTTTTTTTCTTTTTTTGTGTTAGGATACTAATTTCTTAGGTACTTGATAGTCAATTTAAAATAGATTTAAGCCTTTTTATTCAAATATATGGCTTAAGTCTCACTTACATGATAGAAGAAATCCACATTCTTTCTTTCCATCTAGCCAATGCTCTTAAGCACTAGGCTAGCATTTCCTCAAGAAATTATATCAATGTCAAGTATAAATTCCCTTCCATACAAATTAAGTAAAAAGCATAATTAGTTAAAGCTTATGTAAATTAGATTGCATAATGGAAAATAGACAATTGAAAGCATAGAAAGTCAAAGCAGAAAGGAAATGGCATGAGAGGTACATAAAAACAATATAAATACATACAATCATCCAAAATTGCTTCACACCGCTTGGTGAAGTCTTTTAACTACAACTACTGCTATTTATCAAGAGTGGTTAACTGATTTTCGAAAGTGTTTTCTCCTTCGTCTGAGTCAAAAGGGTTCACTCTAAGATCCATCATCAATCTTGATATTCAAGAATGAATGGGTATCAACATTCTCGAGGTCGAGATATGTGAATACTAGATAGAACATGTATAGATCTAAGCATAACAAACACAGAGACAAAGGAATGAGATATATTTTCAATCGTTATAAATTCATGAAAAAAATAAATGAAATATAATAATCATCCACACATATATGTATAATCTCACATTCAATAATGCAATTTTATGAAAATTATTATGCATGAGAAAAGTGATTACAAACACTAGTTTGATATAAGAATGAATGCTCATGTAACTCTTGGATCCAATCATCTAGCCATCAAAAATTGTTGAAAGTTTCATTAGCAAGTTAAATATTCATACAAATGGTGGGGACTCAAATCTCCAATGGCTAGTGTAACTATGCCAACAATATATATCTAAAGAGGTGAAGAGATAGTAGAGCACTGCAGAGAGTACTCCAGGTTTCTAAGAAAACTATTTTGTTACTAATATATTTTCTATATATATTGTATTTTACTTATCTTTAGTACGAGAGGATTAAATTGGCATTGCCATTGAATTAAATCCAATTGTTTCTCTTTGCAAACTTTATTAGCAATAATTGAGAACAAGTGATTCTAGTTCCACTAAACGGATATGTCTAGAGAGTGCATAGGTGATTTCTCCTACTGGCTAATGATCACTTTATCAATTTATACCAAACAAGCATACATAATTCCAAATAGACATTAGCATATAATACACATACCACATTATGCATGGTGCAAGTTTGTTCGGGTTTCCTCTTAGTAATCTTGTTATGCTATGCATGGGGATCCTGAGATACCAATGCCTCAAAACACATCGTGTGAACACTTAAAGTTAAAAGCCATTGAAATACTTCATTTCTTACTGTCACAACCGGGGCTGTGACCGAGAAAATCTAAATGAAAAATGGTGAAACGAAAAATAGAAAACAGGAAAAATAGAGATTGAAGGAGTTGCCATTAGATTTTAAAGAACCATGGAAAACTAGATCTGCATTTGGGAGTCTAATTAAGCATGGGAA